GTCCAGACTGTCCCAACGGACTCCCATTGGGATACAATGGAGGAAAACAGAGAAAATTTTGTCAACTGCCAAAATTGACCTCATTTTGAAACTGCCGTAAAAAACACACCTGTGTAAGTAGCCGAAAAGCAAGTACACTGGGTAGGCCCTACATCCTTCATGGCGCTCACGGTTTGAGAATTTTTCAGGTATCTCTTATACTTTTCGAACGGTGGGCAGGAGTTCGGGGTGAAGTTGCTATGAAAAGTCTCAGAATGTCAGTTGGCCCTTGTAATGAAATAAAGAGGCTCAGCTGCCATATTTGGAATGTTCAGTGGTGGTGAGCTGGAAGACTGCGCTACCCAGAATGCTTTGCTCCTCAAACCAGGAAGTATGGTACATTTCTATACATATTCTTTCTTCTATTACGATAAAGAACACCTGCCTTATCCATGATGATAGACTCAGTAGTCAATTGGTAATTAGTCAATTGGTAAATTGGTGTTCGTTCATTTGGATATTTGTTCAATATTTTTAACAGCTGGTCGGGCCCGATGTCCAGCTTCTGCTGGGGGGGGCGCCAGCGCCTCCTTGTGGAGCGTCATGTCGTACCACCTAAACACGACTAGCTAACGTCGGCCGGCTGATCACCTTAGCTAACAACATTTATAAAACTCAAGGTCCCAGCTTTCCTTTAGCACTTAAATTAATCATGTAAGGGTGAAACTGTAGAGGCAACCTAGGAATCATCAACCTAGAATCTGATATTCAGTGTCCAAATCACTTTGAGTGTCTTTTCTTTTTCGGCTTTTACAGCTCATGGTGTGTACCAAGCTGACGTCAACTCTAATGTTCAGTGTCCATGTAAGATAAACTGTTTTAGTTATTTTGGCTTATTTAACCTATGACCCCCCCCACCCCCAGACTTAAATGTTTGAGCCTAAAAAGACCCACGGAGGCTCAGATCTGTTGGTTATCACTTTTATTTGTTCTCAAAACAGAAGGAAAAGGATTTCATTCAACAATTTTGCTCAGTTATTTCAAAGGATTTATAAGCTTTTGCCATCAAATGTGAGTAAAAAAAGAAAAAATGCTCGTTACATTTGCAGAATTTACTTAAAAAGTCATCAGAATCATTATCCTTCAAAGCCTTTTTAAAAAAAAAAATATTTTAAAACAGTGTTTTTTTACCCTCTATATCCCCTTTATCTGATGTTTCTTGTTTATTGCTTTTTTTTATCAGACAACCATGAAAGTAAAGAACTTTTTCAGCTTTACAATTTTGATTTTTACCAGCATCTTCTCGGGATTAATCACCAACAGTGACATGAAGGTCTTGTTCACTTTCAGATCCTCTTCATCAGCTGGATTACAGAGTTTTTTAGGCCCAGCTCTTCTGTCTTCCGCTGGTTCAGTTTCCTCAGATGTTTAAAGGACTCACTGTTCACTAGCGGAGATCTTTCCAGTTTCTAGCCAGCAGCTCTTTGGGAATCCTCAGAAATCCTGTTTCCTGTCCGTCAGACTGGGTTTTCTTTGGCCTTTTTCCTCCATCAGCTCCAGAAATGGAACAAATGATGTGTCTTTCTGAGAGGCTGTTGCTAACAAAGATCCTAAAGATCCACTTTAAACTGCTGCTCCGTTGATTGGACACAGCACTGGCTCATCCCTTGAGTTAGGGGCCTTTTTCCGCCTGAATGACTCAGAGTTAAGTAGCTGAACAAAGAAAAAAAACAAATTCCTTTGAAAATGCTCAGGGACAAGGACCGGTACTGAGATAAAAAAAGTAAAAAACATCCAAAAATAATGCATAAAACATCTTAAGAAAAACGGTAAACATCATAATCTCTACTTTGAATTTGAATGAGCTGATTTTGTTCTCCTTCAGAAGCCCCAGCAAAAGTCACTGACAGAAATCCTATAAAGAAACACCGACAACTCAACCTGAAAGAAACCAAACCCACATTTTAAAATGGTAGCAGTAATAAAGCTAAAAATGTTTTGATTGTGTCCATAAAAGAGACTTTTAAAGTTGACATCAATATCTTTTTGAATAGTTAAATCATTGTTTCCTGTTGAGCTGCTGCCTCACATGGAGACAAACTGACACAGATAACAAACATTATTTTATATTTTCCCCCAAAATCTGAGCACAGACACAGAAACCACCTGCTGCTCAGGATGAATCCACAAATGATTATTTACAGCAAGAAACAAGCTGAGAGGAGAGTTTATCTGAGCTCACACAACTCTGACGAAGCTCCAGACCAAAAAAGTCCAGTTAACCCAACTCCAGCATAGAGAGGCTGAGTGAAGGTGGTCTGGACTCTGTGGAGGAGAGTCCTGGTCTCAGAGACGCTGTAGAAGGACAGAATACCTGCTCTGTGATCCAGGTACACTCCTACTCTGGAGGGAGGAGGAGCTGAGAGGTAGGTTTCTATTCTGTTGAACCTAAATGTGGAACTGTTTCCATCACAATATAACGCCCAAGATTTGTCATTAAATCCAAATCATTTCCTTCTCTGCTGATATTCTTGTATGCGACTGCTACAGAAACTCCCCCCCCTCTCCACTCCACCTCCCAGTAACAACGTCCAGTCAGACTCTCTCTGCTCAGGACCTGAGGCCAGTCAGTGAATCTGTCTGGATGATCAGGATAAGACTGAGGTTGACCCGTCCAGGTCACCTTCCTGTTCCCCTCTGACAGTAACAGGACTCTCTCTGCTGTGTTTGGATCCAGTGTGATTTTACGTGAACATCTTAAGAAGTCGGCTCTGCTCTCTGGTTCTGGTGGCAGTAGAACATCCGGCTGAGCGGCTGCCAGTGAGACTTTAGTCCAGTCCTGTGTCAGGATGTGCTGCAGTTTGTCTGTGAGCTCTGACACAGCTGCTGTCACATCCTCAAAGTATCTCAGAGGACGCTCCCTGATGCTGGAGGAGTGTGTGGACTCCCTGAGTGCTGGCAGTGAGGGGCAGCTGGTCAGAAACTGGATGTGGTCCTCTGTGTGTGAGAGCTGCTGCAGCTCAGCGTCTTTCCTCTGCAGCTCAGTGATCTCCTGCTGCAGCTCCTGCTGAAGCTCTTTGACTCCCCTCACTGCAGTTTGCTGCTGGGATCTGACCTGCTGCTCCACATCAGAGCGTTTTTTCAGGATGAGACGGAACAGCTCAGCAAACATCTTCTCACTGTCCTCCACTGTTTTGTCAGCAGACTGATCGATGGCCTCCACCTCCTGCTGGAGCAG